TGGGGTCAGCTGAAGAAGTTAACAACTGAGGCCCAGCAGATGGTAGAAAAGCAAGAAGTGGAAGCTACTCTCTCAGCCAAGTCGGAGGACTCTGAGTAAATCGGCAAAAGAAACTTTCATTTGGTAGAAAAATATTACTGTGGTTTGATTTCTCACTTATTGCTATTTTGCATTGCCATTGTTTTATTATTCTCACTAGTTTTAAAAATGTTATGTTCAAGTTTTAAAATGTTTTGGGTTTTGCATTGGCATTGTTTTGTTATTGTTTTAATAGCCAGAGTTTTGTTCTTGATGCTTAAGTTTGATGCTTAAGTTTTACTGTCATTATGGTAGCTTAAAAAAAACTCTCATTATAGTAGCTTAAAAAATAAAAGAAGGGTGAGATGTGGGGAGCTGATATAGGGTTAAGCCTTGGACTGACCTGTTGGTAAAGTCACAAACAATTCCCAGCTTAGAGGGCACAGTCCTCTTAGCATAATTAGGCTTGACCTTATGAGGCTCCCTAGATCTTATCTGGGAGCTAATGGGCTGAGGGAAGTGCAGGAAGTAGCCAAAATAAGTGAAACTCACAAGAACTGTGTAACTATGGAAACCACTACCTTGTTTACCTCTCACTATAAAATAAAGGCTCAGCTTGCCTCAGGATCTTTCTCTGTGGCCTCAGCCAGGCACAGGGAAGATCCACGGAGACTAAAGAAAGCTAGAGAGTTCTGAACGCTGTCTCCGTGTGAAACATTCTTCGCCGACTCCGTGCACACCTTTGAGAACCCCTGGACCCGATGGGACTGGACCCCGGCATTTTGTTGCGGGAGAAATTCTAGCAAGGTAGTTTAAGAGGCTTGCGACGAATGGCAGAGCTGAGATTGAACTGGGATTTGCTTTTCTGGGCCCCCTCTCAGAAGCCACTAGCCAGCCCCCAGCTCTGGGAGGCCCGTTCTCCTGCGGTGGTAGGAATTCAGAGCCCGGTGTCCCAGGAGCCGCGTGTGGGACATCGGTGGGTGCTGGAGAGGGAATGCGCACCCGGCTCCGCAAGTGGCGGGTGTCCGGGATAACGCCACCTCTGGAGCCCGCGCCGCGCCCCCGCCCCCCCCCATCCTCAGCCACGCTGTCACTCTCCATTAGTGCTAACAGGCTCCAGACGAAGCGGCCCGGCTCGGGGTTAATGCAATCGGCGCGTTACCTGGGGCGCAGGCTACGTCACC